CTAACTTTTGTTATCATATGCTACAAGTCTGCTATTCTATAAGTGCGCCCTAACACTATCCCTAGACTGCTGGTGAGGGAAAACTTGCTGAAGGCCATTCAGATTCTTGACGTGAATCTAGTTTGCCTGAGTCACAGCCCAACTCGGATCCATGACACCAGATGTCCTGGGGGTTCTCATTTACCACCCACAAATAATTTCAGACTGGTTGTAAGAACTGGAAGGCAGGCATGGTGCCACATGCCTGTAATCCCAGCACTTGGGAGGCTGAGGCAGGAGGATCGCTGTGAATTCAAGGCCAGTGTAGGGTACACAATGAGTTCAAGGCTAGCCTGAACTATAGAGTAAGACCCTGTTTCAAAAACAGAAACAAAACAACAATAACAACAACAAAAAAAAAAACCAAAAACTGGAGCAAATGATAAACCTTTCTGGTCTATAATGAGACAACCTCCAACTCAGAAGTCCATGCCTTCAGCAGGGACCCTGTACTCAAAAAGTCAGTGCGGGCTGTGAGGTGAAAGAGATTATTTGGCCTAAAAAGCAGCACTGCAGACACCAAGGCCCCGTAAGGAACTAGGCTCTGCAGTGGTTACCGACGAGTCCCTCAGCAGAAGCCAGGGCTGGGGACAGAGTTCTCTGTGGAGGCTCTCCAGGATTCTGAACTGCTGGCAGGATCGTCGGGCAGGGTCTCCTAACAGAAGGCAGCAGAGGCCAGAGTCCCCAGGACACTTCGCAGTATCTGCTTGGGCCCCCACCCCGACCCTACTACTGAGCAGAGCCAGCCCCGCTGCTAAGAGACCCCTTTCATCACCGCACCCTGGGAGGGACACCCAGAGACCTGTGCTCTGGGAAGGGAGAAGGAAGGAAGAAGAGATTCCTGTCTTCAGCGATCAGCTTGCTCTAATTGTCATAGTGGTGCCAACACTGCTTAGAAACCTGGAGTTGGGGGGGCTGAGGGCGGAGCCACCCCGACCTCCTCGCTGCCCTTCCTCCTCCACCGCTGCTCCCCACTCACTTTGGGAGCTGGCTGGCCTTGCGGGCCCTCAGTGATTACTTTTAACAAGTGAGTTCATACATTCTAAAGTTATTGCTGTTAACGTTACTCACCTCATCTTAAAGTCCAAGCCTCGACATTCCAGACTGACTCAAGACGTCACCTTACTTCTCCAACCTCAGCTTCCAGGCCCCTAAATTTAGTCCTGCTCCCATGGTGTGGGAGATGCGTGAGATTTCTGCTTACAGACTAAAGCCTGTGCCTCCAGGGGAGGCAGCCCAGGACCTCGCCCAGAGCGGTGAGGAGTGAAGCTTTCCTAAACCTGGATGGACAATGCCTTGAACCCCTGCTCCCCCGAGAGTCCGGGTGCTGCTCCTCCTGTCCCTGCCAGCCGGCCGCCTCACTGAGGAGTTTAGAGCTACTCAGGGTTTAGAGCTCTCTCCAGCTGCTCCCCTGAGCGGGTCCTTCTAATTGTCCTCCGCTCCCTTTGCCCAGGAGCAGACCTTGGGCCTCCTCCCCTCTACACCCAGGCTGCCGGCGGCCATCTTGGCCCTGGAAACCCACACTGGGAGTCTTTAAAATTAGTAATGCGCTCGGTGACACAAAGTAGTTTTTAATTTGTTCCTGTCATTTCTTTTTAGATTTGGAAATGAGGAGATAGAGCGCATCTTCTCAGGCCTGGAAAACAATAGGAAGCTTCAAGGCCTCAGTCTCCGGTACTGTGGGCTGGGCCCAGGGAGTGGGCCGCGGCTGGGCTTCATCACCAGCCAGAGTGCCATCTGGTGAGACGTCCCTACTTTTGTCTTCAGTTGCACAATTCACTTGATAGTTATCTTGCTCTGCTTTTTCTTAACCAGAAGAGAAAAATCCTTCAAAGTTTGAAAATTGTGGGTGTCAAGCTGAATTCATGTGTTTGACCAACTGAAGTTACTAGGTCTACTTTTTATGATGTGGCCTATTTTCATTTATTATGATTATTTATCAATTGATTATTTCATGGATATATATATTATCTTATCAGAAAAAGACCTCAAGTCCAAATTTGAGGACGCGGTACTGACGTCCTGTGAAAAATGTATCTCACCCTCTTCCCCAGCGAGCTGTACCTTGATGGCAACGATTTGCAGTGCTCTGGAGCCCTGGCTCTGCTCAGGCCCTTAGTGGAGTACCTGGAGATGCAGGAGAAAGACCCGCCGGCCACAGCTGCTCCCAACACCGGAAATCCCCCTCGGCTGCTCCACAGTAGGTGCAGGGCAACTTGGCCCTAGGTTCCTTTTGGGGCCACCTAGAAAGAGGGAACTGCTTTGTGATTAAAAGCGACCCTCCAGCCAGTGCAGTGGTGCGTCCTGTAATCCCAGCAGAAAGTGAGTTTGAGTCTCACCTGGACAACTTAGTGAGATCCTATCTCAGAGTAAAAAAACAAAAAGGACTGGGAATGTAGCTCAGTGGTAGAGCAGCCCTTGGTTTCATCCCCAGCAACCTCCCCCAAAATGAGCTTCTTTGAGGTCAGTGGAGATTCTTCTTCTTCCTGAGCATGTGTGGGAGACAGAATAACGGCCTCCAAAGATGTCTTTGTTCTTGTTAGGGTTTTTGGCACAAAAACAGAACAAAGTAAAAATGTCTTTATTGCAGGTGCAGAGAAGTCCACAGCAGAAAGGAGGGCCATGTAGATTCTGAGGGTCTGACCAGGGGAACAAAAGCTATGCAGGGCCAGGCAGAGGGTGGGGTTTAGGGAGTAGTCTGCCTGAGGTGGCAGACTATGATTGGGCAGGAGGTGGCAAAAAGGAAACAGGAAGTTGTAAAAGGGAAGTAGAAAGTTGTAATTTGACCAAGGGGGAGAAAAGCAAGGCCTGGCACATGGCCTCCAGTAGCCCGTGCCATATTGGCTCACTGCCACGATGATTTAGCAAAATTTTTTATTAAGGCAGAAAACCCGTCCGTTCTAATCCTGAGAACCTGTGAACTTGTCATGTGGCAAAAGCGATTTTGCAGGTGTGATTAAATTCAAGATTTTAAAATGGAGAGATGCGCTTATAATCCCAGCACTCAAGAGGCTGAGTCAGGGGGATCATTGCGAGTTTGAGACCAGCCTGGGCTACAAAGTAAGCTCAAGGCCAGCCTGAACTGCATAGAGAAACCCTGTTTCAGAAAAAGACTAAAAATAAAATAAAATAAAATGGAGAGATGATCCTAGATTAACCCAGCAAATCCAATGTAATCACAAGAATCTTATCTATCAATCTATCTATCATACATAGGGCCTTCTCTCTGAGTTGCATCCCAGCCCTCTTTCTCTCTCTCTTTTTTTCTCTTTCTTTTTTTTTTTTTTCTTAATTTTGAGAGAGGGTCTTGCTAAATTGCCCAGCTAGGCTCGAACTTGGAATCTTCCTTCCTCATCCTTCCAGAGTGCTGGAAATACAGGCACTGTGTGCCCCCATCTCTGGCACAAGACTCTTTGTAAGAGGGGGACTAGCAGGTCAGAGTCACAGAGGAGGAGCCGGGTGTGGTGGCTCATGCCTGTAATCCCAGCACTCAGGAGGCTGAGGCAGGAGGATGGTCGTGAGTTCAAGACCAGCCTGGGCTACAAAGTGAGCTCAAGGCCAGCCTGAATTATATAGCAAGACCCTGTCTCAAAAAGATAAAAAAAAAAAAAGAAAAGATAAAGATAAATACTATCTCAAATGTTACAAAAGTGAATGACTCTGTAACTCAGGGATGAACCATTATTACACATCAGGTGGTCTCCAATTTTTGCTTTAAACAAAATTGAAGGAGGACCTAGTCAAATTATCAGCTGACAGGTTATTAAAAATCCTTTCTGTGTGTGCGCGCGAAACAGACTGCTGTGTGATTTTTAGCATATAATCCAAAAATTCAAAGGATTGACTAATGGCTGCTAGGATAAAACTCCTAGGCTTACTCAGCTGAAAACAAGTACTTTATTTTAAGTATGTCCCATGCGATGTTTGGGCTATCCACATACTAAAATAATTACCCTTTGTTTATCTGACATTTAAGTTGAACTGGGTGTCCTTTTGGGGTGGAGTGGGGTGAGGGGTGGAGGGGAAGCTAAATCTGGCTGCCCTACCCCATTTCCATCCCGCATGGCAGGATTTCTCAGGACTTACAGCAGCGACCGCCAAAATAGAAAGAGAATGATGCTCACTCTGCCACACTAATATTCCCCAGTGAATATGGGAATTCACTGGAAAAACAGATAAAAGTCCATCATCCAGCTCACTGAGATGCAACCAATGAAATTTTATTTTGTATTTAATTAGAATTCATCAAAATATGTGAGACACATACGCACTGATCAGTAGCGTAGTTATGAAAGTAAAGTGATAACTGCAGAAGAAATTTTTAATAAGTGACTTATGATCCCAAGAAAAATTTTAAATTTATGTATTTGTACATGTAGCATTTTTATTACAGAGAAGTCTTACTAAAGAATCCATAAAAGAGTTTCTTCCTTCCTTCCTTCCTTTTTTTTTTTTTTTTTTTTTTTGGTCTTTTTGAGACTGGGTCTCGCTATGCAGTTCAGGCTGGCCTTGAGCTCACTTTGTAGCACAGGCTGGCCTCAAACTTGCAATGATCCTCCTGCCTCAGCCTCCCAAGTGCTGGGATTACAGGGGTGCACCACCACGCCTGGCTTCTTCCTTCCTTCCTCTTTCCTTCCCTTCCTTCCTTCCTTCCTTCCTTCCTTCTTTCCTTCCCTTCCTTCCTTCCTTCCTTCCTTCCTTCCTTCCTTCCTTCTTTCCTTTTTTTGGTAGTACTAGGGATTGAACTAAGGGCCTTCACAATGAGCTATATCCCCAGTCTTTAAAATTTCTTTTTCTTGCCCCTCATTTCTCTGAGCACCCGCACTCCACTCTTGAGCAGGCATCCTCCATCCACCTCTAATAAACCCTGCTCACGCCTCATTCCCTGATGCACCCTGCAAAGCCTTTGCTGAGACGGGAGTCAGTGAGGATCCACACCTATGTTAAAGGGACTGAAGAAGCACTCCATGTCCGGCAGTTATCCTGAAGTTATCACCAAAAAAGGAAAAATGCAAGAGTTTTGCTGTGGGTCTTCTGAGCTCTTACAGGATTATCTCTTCTGCACTTTGCTAGACTTGATCATCAGATGCAAGGTAGAAAATCAGGATAAAGGAAAATATATAGTATTTTTCTTACAGAAGACAGGAAGGCAAAAATGATGAATGGACACATACAATGTCTCTGGAAACTTCTGTCTGTACACCATCAGCAAAAAATTTCCTTGGCCAAGGCAAAAACAAGTATGGAAGTAGATTTTTTTCCGCCACACTAAACCATAGCTAGAAAGGAGAAGTAATGGGGAAAAAAATCATGAATAAATAATAAAGTCTATATGCTGGGTATCCTAGATAGATAAACAGATAGAGATAGATAGATAGAGATAGGTAGATGGAGATAGATAAATAGATGATAGATACAGATAGGTAAACTGAGGTAGATAAATCGATCAATTGATCAATCTATAGAGATAGATTGATAGATTGATTGATTGATTTTCTTGGAGACGAGTGTTTGTTAAATTGCCCAGGTGAGGCTCAATCTTGATGTTCCTGCCTCAGCCTCCCAGAGTACTACTGACAGCAAAGGCATGCACCACCATGCTGGCTAAGACTTTTAAGTATAAAATTCCTCAGAGTAGACAGAATGGAAATACAAATAAAAGCACAAGAAGAAAAGAGAATAATGAAAATTTTTCAATTGGCTAAAGAAGAGTTTGCTTGCGTTTTACGTTATTTCTCTTGGAGTTAAGGTTCTGCCTAATCCCGTTAAGAAAATGATATAAAAGATTTTATTTTTAAATGTCAACGTTTGCCATATGGCAGAAATTTTATTTTTGGAAAGTTAAAAATTTATAATGAAAAAGTTAAATATCACCTGGGCATGGTGGCGTGAACCTGGGTTTTTTGGGGGGTTTTTTTTTGTTTGTTTTTTTGGTTTTTCTCCGGTATGGGGAACCGAACTCACGACCTTGCGCATGCCAGGTGGCATGAACCTGTTATCAGCACTCTGGGCAGCTGGGGCAGGAGGGTCACAGGTTCGATTCAGAGATTTTGGGCGATTCAGAGATTTTGGGCAATTCAGAGATTTTGCAAGATCCTATTTTAAAACTGAAAAAGGGTTTGGAATGTAGGTCAGTCCCAAGGCCTGGGTTCAATCCCCAGTACCACAAATGGTAAAATAAAATAGGCCTAAAAGTGTGTAAGGAGATAAGATTTTCAATATTCCTTCAGGATGTTATAAGAATAATTTTTTTTTTTTTTTAGGGTTGAGCATGGGTCCTAGGGCAAGCACTCCACCACTGAGCTACATTCACAGTGTGCAAAAATGTTTTGGGACCACCGCTTTATAAAGCCCATATGTTTGGGTTGCCCTCCTGTCCTGTGAGCTACCCAGGGCTCGCAGTGACTTTGCCTTCACTCAGGAGGCGGGTGTGATGGACTGCTGCTGCTGACAACCCTTGGGGCCCAAATGACCCACAACCCAAGGACCAATCTTTTGTTGTTCAGTTGTTTTGTGATACTGGAGAGCAAACCCACGGTTTGGTGGAGCTAAGTAAGCACTCTATCGCTGAGCTACGTCCCAGCCCTTTTTAATTATGTTTTATTTGAGACAGACTCTCACTAATTTGCTCAGGCTGGCCTGGAATTGTGATCCTTCTGACTCAGCCTCCCGAGTAGCTGGGATTACAGGCATGTGCCACCACTCAGCAAGAGGTTTGTTTTCTTGGTTTTTTTTTTTTTGTTTTGGTTTTTCTCCAGTACCAGGAACCGAACTCACGACCTTGCGCTTGCCAGGCAGGCGCTTTTGCCGCTGAGCTAAATCCCCAGCCCAAGGTTTGTTTTCTTAATTACGCGCAAAAGCACCCTGAGTAGTGACGTGCCTTTCTTTCTTCTGTGTGCTGTACATGACGCACGTCCTGATAGGCACCACATTTTCTTCTGGGTGCCTGGGATGTAAAACACCATCTCTATCTCGGGGAGGGGCTGGGAGTGTGACCTGGGTGGCAAGTGCATGCCACGTGGCAGGACAGGGCTGTTTTTAAAAGGTTGTCTTGGTTACTTTTCTCTCATTGCTGAGACAAAATATTTGACTCCCAAAATTAAGGAAGGAAGGGTTGATTTAGCTCACAGTTTGTGGAGGTTTCAGTCCATACTTGGCTGGCTCCTAGGCAGAGTGGCATATGGCAGAGGGCAACAGTTC